CAAACAAATCAGATTTTACAAATTCATTCTGTATTCAGGTGAGGAAATGAAGTAGTTACTCAGTTACTGTAAGTACCACTTTTGACTCACACTATTTTATTTTCTCGTATCTAAAATAGGGATTAAACAATGCTTCCTCTCACTCCTACCTATCTTCTCTTGCTTATTCAGATTGCTGTAATTTGCAATAAAAAGGGTGTTTCATGAGATGTACAAACAGCATCAATCTTGGCTTTCTATCCTAAGATGTAGGATGATACATTATGTATCAGCTTATGTGTTTATCCTGTGGTTTGATTGGATCAGACGGAGCTGACACATTTGTTTCCTTCACTTAAATTCCAGCTCTAGTTTGAAAAATGTTGCAATGCTTTTTTTTTAACTTTTACTGACATTTGCAGACAAATCTTGAGAGTAGCCAGGTACAATTTAGGTCTAAAAGAGGACATCAGGAACTAATGGTTTTGAAGAGCAATCTGGTTAAGAAACATTTTGAGAGAAGCCAATGATAACTTTTTAAAAGAACATACAGTCTTACTGCAATATCAAAAATACTTAAGGAATGTAGAAATAATTTTCTGTTTTCACTCAGAGAACTGAACAGGTAAGAATGTTCACAAACAATCCATGGGGATGGTTTCTACACATGCCATGCTGCTAATGGCTGCTATATTTTTTTGTTGATTTTTCTCTTATTCATTGAAACTACAGCTCCTGGTTGTTCTGGTATTTTCAAAGTTGTGAGAGCTCTCTAAGCTGAAAGCATTACATTCCAATGACTCAAAAAAAAAAAAAACAAAAGCTCAGAAACAATCTTGTAATAACAGAGCCTTGACATCTTCCCACAACCTCATGAATGTATGTCACAGGAGGAAATGTAATTAGTCCTGTCCTGTAATAATTCTTCCATTTTGAAGGAAGCATATTAGCATATCAGCAGAAAAGATATGGAAAATTTCAGAGGGTAGGGGAATAGAGCTGTTTTTTAATACCTGACTTAACCAAGTAGAGCTGTGCTGGATGGTACAGCTGGTTCATCAAATTTTTACCAGGGGTTCTGCAATTTCAGCTTATTTTTATTACCTAGTCTTCATCCATCAGAGTTCAAGTATAAAGTGCAAGAGTCCTTGAGGCTACTTGCTTTTAGGAACAAAGAACTACTGAAAAATTCCAAGCATATCTCCCCTAACTAGGCTGGAGCAGATAGAGAATATGCTGTCTGGCCAAACACAGTGTGACTGTCTGTCAGAAAACCTCATGTCTTTAGCACAAAAGTCACTTCTCTCATATCTAATGCTGAGAAAATCCCCAGACAGCTTTTTTTTTTTCTCCTTTTGAATGTTGTTACTTTCCTATTCACCACAATTAATAGAATTAATTATGAGTTACAATTACAAAGTTACTGTACCAGGTTATATCACCAGATTTGCTCTTGCTTTTATTGCTGCTGACAATAGCCACAGAATAAAACACACATTGGTAGAAGGAGCTTTCAGCAGGTTTGTATTTACCCTCTGCTTGAACTGGATTATGTGTTCTTTCATGCACGAAGGCTAAAGGTAAAACAGAGAGTCTCACTTGTGTGCTTAAGAGAATATGTGCTAAATCAAACCATTCCTGTGAAAAATGGGTGCCTGTGCTGCTTTGCAGGAAAACACAAAGTTTGGGTTTTGTTTGTATTCACAGTGCCACCACAGACAACAGAGTTGTGCTTTGAACATCTCAAATACCATCAAACCATAAATACCAGTAAGATTCCCAGAGCCAGTATATGAGATATTGGTGAGAAAAAAAGGCAAATTATTTAACTTAGGGAGTGACTGCAGCAACTGGCACATTACTCTGCACCTATGCTGCTCCATCACCTTGGGGCAGGTGAGAGCTCTGAAAAATAACATGAATTGCTGCCAGCTGTGGGAGGACAAAGAGAAAGATTAAGAGATGCCCCAAGTCATGGTGCAATTTCTCAGCCCAAACCCCATGTTTTGATGTGTGACAGGGCACACAAAGGGTAGCCCAGACATTTCTAGTAGATTCACAACAAGGTCAAACTACACATCTAAAAATTCAGTATCAAGAGTAGACAGTGAAATACAGATACTGATCAGGCCCCCATCTTGGTCCTCACTTCACACACTGAAACCTTTTCTTCTGCTTTGTTAACCTCATTCAGCATCTGTCACCTACCTCAGTCCACATTCCTGCTTGTTAACTGGGGCCTTGAATAATTCATTTTTAAAAGAACAAAATCATAATATAATTCACCTCCAAAGAGACATGAGAGTTCTGCTGGTCTGTGCAGAACTCAAGCCTTTGATGAAGAGACTGAGAGGTGATGGCCAAGTCTGGCACATTCCAAAGAGAGGAATTTTAAAAATTATATTGGACAGAATACATCACTGAAGAAAGCTAACTGGAGAAATTACCTGTGAAAATGGACACTCCAAATTTTGGTGCCACATTTTGGTGATGGAAATCAGAGCACATAGGAGAAATTTCCAGACTGCACTCTACACAGTGACGTGGGGGAAGGCTGCCATATTTCTGCCTGGGCCTTGCAAGGACAAAGGGTTTTCTAGGATATGAGATATTTTCAGATGCATTAGACTTCTGTTTGCTCAATGAGATGAGTTCTGCACACACCAAACAAACTCTTTAACACTTTAGGTGCTGCAACTCTGACTGGAGTAATATTGTGTCTCTGCTGCTCAAACAATTTTGCGAAATCCTCTGTCTCTACATGGAGGCAATTTCTAAATGAAAACAGAAAATACCTCAATGGAATGTAGAGATGTAGAGATGCCTCAATGCAGAAGCTATTGGCATGCCCAGGCACAACCTTTTCAAGAATGATCTGATTCCCAAAAGGGCACACTACAGCAGGAATAACACAGGAATATGAATGTACTGTGTTGAAATAGCTACACCAGGAATAATACACTGTTAGAAATGGCTCTGATAAAACTCTGCCACACAGACTTTCTGTTCACAGTACTATTTTACTGATTCAAAATCAGCAAAATCCCAAAAGTCTTGGGGATTTTAAGAGTTTGAGACCTTCATGTTAATTTAGATACGTTGCGTTATCTTGGCATGCAAAAAAACCCCAACAAAAACAAAAAACCACCCCAAACCCAAACAAAACCAAGCTCATTTGCAGACACCATGCAGGAAGATTAAAATACTTGGCAGACGTAGCTTACACCAAACCACAGATTCTCACTTTTAGAAAGATTACAGAGAAAGAAACTACCAACGTTATGGATGTCACTGCATTGCCAATTTGAAAGAATGTTCCCTGTATTAGAAAATTAATGGGACTAAACACAGGTAAATGGGGATATATATCCCTTCCATGCTTCAAAGGAACAGACCAGTATGATCCTGCTAGAAAATGCCACAAGTCAACATTCTTGTGCTGCACCTTATCTGTGGTCAAAATGTGAATTTCATTTACCAACAGTCCAGCAGTCTCTTCATTACATTTGCATACTTTTCATTCCATTTGCTTCAGGAAGAGAACCTGCCTGTCACCTCCCTGAAGTGTTTATATTTAAAAAAAATAGAAATATCATAGTATGTTACATAAAACCCCCTTATTCCTTTAGAAATGGAAACACTCCTCCCTCTTGCTGTTTTGTTTAATGTTTAGAAGTTAATTGCATTAGAGTAGTTCTACTTTATGCAATTCCATAATTGGAGTGTAGAATAATCAGGTTCACTAATAATTTTCTCAAGAGTTATCTGTCAGCACCCATAACTCATCATAAAACCAATTATGTCACTTCTGGTGTGCCTTTCATGACTTTGGTGCCTGACAGAGTAAAAATCAGCATGAGATTATTTCATGGTCCTGGATAAGTGGCTTCAGTGGCATCCCCTGTTAGGGCTCTGCCATTCCAGCATTCAGAACTGCATGATCCAGTCTTATGAGGTGCTCTGGTGAGCAGACAGTGGATAAAAAAGTATTTTCAAGATGGTTAATCACTGAATTGACTGGTTACCATGAAACACTGCGCTGAGCAACACGGATGAAATTTATTTAAAAATAGCACATAGTTTTCTGAGTGTGCATTTGATAAAAAGGGAGTTTTATCTGACATCTCGTCAGGTGGGAAAATCCCTTTTCTGCCACACAAGCACACAATCCTCCATTTTAATACTTGATATTATATGCATTATTATATTGAAATTCTAAGGTCTGCAAATCTCACTTAAGATACCACCAAATTTTGTGTTGCATCACACTACTCAATGTTTCAGTTCTTTGCCACTGGGAAACTTAGAGATTTCTCTTTCTTCGAATGCTTCAGATCAGCATGGCTCTCACAGAAATCCACCCTAAATCCACCTTTTCAGTGCCAAGACCTTAATATGAATTGTTCTGAGAATTGTTCTGACAAATTAGATTGTCTAAGCACTCAGATTACAGATCTATCTGTTTAATAGCTGCATGTCTCTCGTTCATTTTTTTCTGACACATTCAGCAATCTCCTCCTTTTCAGTGCCCATGAAATTAGGGCACCCACTGACACCAGAGAGCACAAGGCACAGTCAGCTGATTATTAGCACTTACACCAACCCTCATGTAACAAATTACACTGAAACTTTTATACTGTTATTCAGTATCAACTCCTATACCGTGAAAAAACCTAAGAAAACACTAAAATCCTATTTCCCTAATGGAGATAAAGGGCTTCAAATCAACACAAGCTTTTCCACCAGCCTGAGTGGTCATACAAGCAAAGCAGATAGTGAGTGATATGCAGTGAAAAATAAGAATAAAAAGTTATAGTTTCAAATGAAACATTTGCACATGACACTGCTTTGATCACACAAGTTGACCAATGGAAAGAATATTCCCAATGGGGATCCCAGTGAAGGGAACTCCACAATTTTTAATTATATTGAAAGGATTCACAGGGAAATAGATTATAATTCAAAATTATTAGCAAATTCAAGAGGAAAGTATGTATAGATGAGATCTCCATTTCTCTTACCTTTGCAATGGTCTCGTGCAGGCTGAAGGAGGGATCCAGCTCTTCAGTTTTTGTTGCAGGTACAGGAAAAAGAGCTTCAGAGAGAAAGCTGGAATTCTGTGAGGAAGAAGAAAGGGGCTTTTTAGGATTTCACATTGATTTCCTCCTTCAATTGGTTATTGAATTTTGTTGATAGATTGAGAAACCCTTCCAGTCTTTATTAAATTTTGATGATTATGACACTTATTCACTGATCTCATTGACTGATTCCAAGCCCCTAAAAAAGGCAAAAACCCCCTATGTCTTATGACTTTATTTCTGGATTGGCAGTTGTCTCTGTAATTATGCTTCCCAAAGCAGCTAAAAATTTTGCCTACCAGGAGAATAAAAAAATATATCCACACAGCTTTATTCTGAGCTAAGTAGCAATCAGACATCTTATTAACTAAGTTATGATTTAAGTCTTCAGGAGAAATGTAACCACAATAATCAAGGAATACTCTTTTATCTTCTCCAAACATCCCACTTCTTTATCCAGTGAGTCCATCTACATAATAAGGGATTTTTTGTCAACTCCCTAAAATTATATACTTTACGTTAACCAGTCTATTAACACCAAACAATCTAATATATTGTTTGTACAGAATGTTCATCTCTTCTTGTGCTCTAAAAAAAAGTAAGACATTATTTGCACATTTTTTGTCAAAAGAAAACAAGAAACCAATAACAAGGAGTGGACTGGAAAAAAAGGCAAAACAATATAAAACAAACCTCTAAGCCTCAAAGGTGCCCAGATGCCTAAAGCAGGAATTGCATTACATTGCTGGTGAATATGCTTGTTGAATTTTTCTATAAATTAATGCCTTCATGATCAATATTCTATCAGTACTTCCATGCATTTCTAGGAGATTATTTCTGGTAGCAAACTCCCACCACTTTCTTAAAAAAAAAATTATATATATAATTAGCAGTGCATCATATAAATTTTTGTGATCAGTGATGCATCTGTGTGTTGCATAACTTGTCACAGAAACATCACAAAAATAAATGAAGTAATTTTTTCTTTCAGAATTTTTTTTTTTTTTTAGATCTCTGCGAGAAGATGCACAAAGTCATTCATTACAAAGATTAAATACATACTCCAGCATTAACTCATAACCATTCATCTTTGTTCCAAGTTTGCACAGTGGTTTATAGAGCTGTGCCATTTGACTGGGGGGCTGCTGAGGAACACCCTCATTCTGCTGTGGTGGTGCTGAAGCTGCTCATCATCAGTTACATAAATGCAATCAATAACTTGAGGAGAGTTGCATTATTTATATTCACTCTTGAGTATCTCACTGAGAGTCAGTGAAGGAAGTGACTACCAAATTAGATTTGCCACACAAGGTCAGATTATTGCCCCATCCAGACAAGTGTCTTTGGAATCTGAAGTCTGGTGAATCCTCCCTGGAAAGCAGGGAGGCGCTGCTGACCTGGCTTCTCTCCCACCCCACTCCAGACCCCACCTGGGCCAGGTGAACCAGCAGCCTCTGCTTTGGAAGATCTCAGCTTACACAGGCAGTGATCAGCAAATGAACCAAAACAACTTGGACATCACAAGCAACGAGTTGTTTTGCTCATGAAGGAATCAAGTCCCTGCTTGCAGAGATCTTGAAAAGAATTGCTGTTTGAAATAACTTGCTGACATCTGAAATCATCCTGCTGTGCACTTGTAAAAGCAAATGTTTAAATCAGCTCTGGCTGCTTTTTTTTTTTTTTTTTGCCTTTTTTTTTTTTTTCTCATAACAAGCTCCTCCATAAAGAACAGCTAGAAAGGCCAACTTTGTTTCCTTTGCCTTTTGCTGTTTTTCAAGTACTGTGCTCACTAGAGAAAGCTGCATCAGCTTCCCAACTAGCAGAAGCCCAGGGAGCACATGGCAGAGAGAAGGCCCAGATGATGCTCCAAGAGCACCTCTCAGCATTTAACAGCAAGAGCAACACCCAGCACGAGCTGGAAACTGAATCACACTCCTCTGTCGTTGTTCCACCAAGCTCACAACAGTGAGAGTTGTAATTTGGCTTTTTTTGAACACCAGTTTGCTAAGCAAATTTCTAGTAAATGCCCACCAAGAGAAAGACTTGCTAATCCAAAAATATTAAGACCAATTGTATTATTCCTTTGTGCTTTTCAGCCACAGTAGGAGCTACAGCTGCAGTTGTTGTTCTTGTTCTCTCCCACACTCGCCTCCTAAACACAAATCATCACCTCTGCCCCAGCCAGGCATTAGCATCACCCTCACCTTCTTCAGAGGGCAGTCTTCAATGCATTGTGAATGCTCTGGAGATGGTATCAAATTATGGAAAAAACCTTTTTAAGGTCAGACCACTGTGAAACATCCTAAAATTTAGGAGGTCCAATTTCCACTAGTGCTTTGAAAATTTTTTGCCTTTGCTTTTTATCACGTTCTGTTAATTTTTCTTTAAGTTCATGGCTATCCAAATGGATTAAGAAGATTTTCTCTTCTGATATGAAGTTATGTTTTTATCAAACAAACTTTACAATCTACAAAGGATCATCCCAAAAATCCTTGAATTCCCAATGAAATTATTTGGTATCTCTATGAACTCTTCAGAAGAGAAATGAACCAGCACAACACGTATTTGGAAGTGAGTTTCCTTTGTCTCGTGTTCCTTTTGGAATAATCAGTTAACCTGGTCTTTTCAATACTCATTTAATGAAGCATTCTGTGAAATTAGAATGACATTGATGTTCTACTTTTCAAATAATGGGTCACTTCTGATTAAACTTCGATTGAACATTCAACTTTCAATCTTAAAACAAATTGCCTCCTTTTCTTTTTAATTTTAACCCAATTTCCTACTGCCCTCAGGTCTTGTGACAGTAATTAATTGATTTATGAATCAATTAAATGGAGATCGAGAATGCAGGCTAAAATCTCTTGAAACCCCAAATCTGGCTTACTCTTGCTTATTTATGATGGACACTTGCACTAAAATTCACTTCTGATTTTCTACATTCATTTTTCTAACTTAACTTATCCTTCCTTAACTAATTAGGTGAACAAAATGTTCCACCATCTAAAGGTACTAAATTCACCATCCCTTGTGTACTGTCTTATACCTTCAATTTATATGCCAACTTTCAACCAATGCATTTTAAATCACAAATAAAATCCCACAGCACTTCTGGTGATTTAATGAAAAACAGTAAATACCAAAACATGCTTTAGAGATCAATTTTGCTGTTATTAAATAAAATAGTTTTAAATAAAAATAAAAAACCTTTTTTTAAATAATAAAGTTTTTTTAAAAATATCAATTTTTGTCTTACTTTCTCTGTTGTCAAACATTGTCTTAGAACTGGAATTATTTCTGTAAATACATGTGAATTTTTTTACTAGCTGAATCCAGAAGAGATTCTGTTTTCTTGACTATTACTTGAGAAACTGTAAAATTACCAGTTAGAGAAATTGTGAATTTATGTACCCAAATTATGTAGGTAATAATTCCTTAATATGCTCTCATTCCACACTCAAACTAATTTTTCTTGCCTGATGAATGTTCCCCAGCTTTCACAAGAAGACATCCTTCTGTTCTTAACCTGGTGAATAATACATAAATATCTCCAGAAATAATTCTTCTGGGGTTGGGGGGAGGAGGGGGAGGTGAGGGGAGGCTTTTTTGTTGTTTGTTTGTTTTGAAAGCAACAGGCAGTGGAGGTTTCTCCACTCAGCAATAAAGATGCTCAATCTGGAAAAACGATCTTTAGACTAAAGCTCTTTATCCAGTTTGACTCCACCCTTTTTAACATTTGTCAGAATTGTCCATACTCAGGCCAGCATTGCCCTTCAGCACTTCACAATATTCATAGCACCAATTTTATACTGCACAGGAGACAAAAGAAAGCACCAGGAAAGGTAAAATCAGAGAGGAAGCAAGTGAGAGCAAAAATCCTTCTGAAATTCGTACAAGTGGGCAAGAGGTATAAATGTGTTACATTGCCAAAGCCTGCAAGGCAAATACACAAAAGAAGGATGTAAACCAAGAGAAAAATGTTTATTTTCTTCATACAGACCAACGAAAAATGTCTAGAAGGTGAGAATTTAGGGGTTGCTTTTGCTGCATCAGGACTGACACTATGCTCTGTTACCTGTCCAGTATAAACACACTTTATAAACACATATAAAGTGTGTGTTCCATGAGCTATAAACCTGTTTCACTCTGTCTGCCTTTTTGTAGTACAACAGCACAAAAAGTAGAATTGCAGAAAACTGAGGGATACACACAAATGTGTAGTGCCTGGCCACTGAAACACAAAGTAGACACTGCACATCTTCAGAATGGGCACAGGTTCAGCTGGGAGGCTGAAGTCACACAAGGCACAATCTGAATCTGTGCAGTGCCCAAAACCATTACCCAGAAACCCAGAGGCCTCACAACTGCATCAGGACTTGTCTGCATCTGTATTCAACAGCAGTGCCAAAAAGTTGTCATAGTGTGATGGAGAAAGCCCTGCCAGGAGAAAAGATAAAGAGAGAGCAGCGAGAAGAACAAAAACACCTCTGAAATCTGCACTGCAGGCTCTCACTAATTCCTTCTTCCATTTTCCCTAAGTCAAGCAATTGGCATACGGTATCCTGGTAGAAAATATTCAATTGAATTTCTTTGTGACAGAGCTGTTTCACCTCACCTAGGCTAAAAGGCCATCTCTTCCCCCTTTTTTTTACTGCCTGGCAGGGTGATTGAACAAGAGGTTTGACTGCAAGAAGGATCAAAAAGAGAGGAATGGAAAAGGTATCTCATAGACTAAAATATGGCTTATCATCATCTATCTGGATTACTTTTACTTTGGGAGAGTACTGGAGACTGAAGCAGATTTACTGAAAAAGTAGATTATGTAGAATAGAACAGACTGAAGCCAAAGTGTGATTCAAATTGAATTGATGAAATAATAACAGGCATATAGGATTTCTCACTAATAGAGGCCCACAGGACTGCAAATACAGTGCAGAAGAGATTTTCTGCCTCTCCATCTCACCAGCAGGGCAGTTTTACCCTTTCTAGTAAATGCTCTAGATATCTAATTAAATATCACCTCCCAAATCCACAAAGGA